GCAAGAATTACTACGGAAATCTTGGTAAGAATCTTGGTGAGAATTACTAAGGGAATCTTGGTAAGAATTACTAAGGGAATCTTGGTAGGAATTACTACGGGAATCTAAGCAAGAATCTTGGTAAGATTTACTACGGGAATCTTGGTAAGAATCTTGGTAAGATTTACTAACGGAATCTTGGTAAGAATCTTGTTAAGATTTACTAAGGGAATCTTGTTAAGATTTACTGAGATGATCTTGGCAAGAATCTTGGCAAGAATTACTACGGGAAACTTAGCAAGAATCTTGGTAAGATTTACTACGGGAATCTTGGTAAGAATCTTGGCAAGAATTACTATGGAAATCTTGGTAAGAATCTCGGTAAGATTTACTTAGGGAATGTTGGTAAGAAATATTACGAGAATCTTGGGAAGAATCGTGGCAAGAATTACTACGGAAATCTTGGACTGCTAAGAATCTTAGTAAGATTTACTAAGGGAATCTTGGTAAGATTTACTAAAGGAATCTTGGTAAGAATTATAACGGGAATCTTGGGAAGAATCGCGGCAAGAATTCCCACGGGAATCTTGGTAACAATCTTGGTAAGATTTAGCAATGGAATCCTGGCAAGTATCTTGGTAAGAATTACTACGGAAATCTAGGTAAGAATCTTGGTAAGAATCTTGTTAAGATTTACTAAGGGAATCTTGGTAAGATTTACTGAGCTGATCTTGGCAAGAATCTTGGCAAGAATTACTACGGGAAACTTAGCAAGAATCTTGGCAAAAATTACTACGGGAATCTTGGTAAGAATCTTGGTAAGATTTACCATGCGAATCTTGGTAAGAATCTTGGTGGGTTTTTCCCGGTGTAGTAAGCGCATGTTTCTTATATTATCAGTTAATCAACCTGCGGAAATAAACTAGATGACTTAAGGCACTTTTTTAGGCTATTTAATCACCTGATCATCGTTACATCATTCATAAGAGGGTAGCAGGGGGGGGGGGTGTCCAGGTCCCGTTTCACGTGCAAATTTTGACAAATTTCACGTATCACATGCGTTATAAACCCTTTTTCACGATCCACGAATTTAGTCATCAACCGAAACCGGAAACCGCGTATGAAAAGCCCCTCACACCCAGTCATCAAACCACAGTCATCATGGATCACACTTCGCAGTTCAGTAAACGATGGCATCTTCTTTTCTTATCAGCAAGTCGCCAAGGTAATCTTAAAAGGTGTTAACGAGTACTCGAAACCATCGTCTCATTGACAAATACAATCTACTGGTACGAAACTACCGCTCTATGCGACAAGGAGATAAGTAAAACTCTTCCAGAGCGAGTGCGAATTTATCTTAACAGCAAATTTAAAATCACATTTCTGTCAAGATCAGTAGAAGCTCCTCGGTCTTCTTCTGAGTTCCTTTCGCGTCATTGTATTCCAACTCATCTCTCTCTCCAACGCGTAATTCTTTTGATTTGTGTTGTGAACTTGCTGTGAAACATCACATCAAATATGGCACTGCTCCGGTCTCAGCAGACATCTGCTGTCATATAACTGTTATCAGACGTCTGATTTTGTATGTTATGTTATATAACTGTTATCAGACGTCTGATGTTATATATTATGTAATATAGCTGTCATCAGACGTCTGATAACAGTTATATGATGTCAGACGTCTGCTAACAGTTACATTAATCAGACGTCTAATAACTATATTACATCAGCCGTCTGATGTCACATAACTGTTATCAGACGTTATGTAACATAACATATAAAATAAGACATTAGACGTGTGATAACAGTTATATGACAGCAGATGTCTGCTGTCATATAACTGTTATCACAGTTAACAGACGTTAACAGTTATAACATAACTGTTATATAACACTATATATAACAGTTATATAACTGTTATATATATAACAGTATATATAACAGTTATATTTAACAGTTATATAACAGTTATATATATGTCATATAACAGCTATATATGTTATATAACAGCTGCTATAAAACTGTAATATAACAGTTATATAACAGTTATATGTATGTCATGTAACAGTTACATATGTTATATAACAGCTGTTATGTAACAGTTATATAACTGTTATATATAACAGTTACATATATGTCATATAAGAATTATATATGTTAACAGTTATATAACAGTTACATAACCGTTATATAACAGTTATATGACAGTTATATAACAGCTGTTATATAACATATATAACTGTTATATGACATTTATATAACAGCTATCATATAACAGTTATATAACAGTTATAACAGAGTATGGGGCTGGACAATCAAATAGACCCGTTATATAACTGTTATATAACAGGTATATATGTTATATAACAGCTGTTATATAACTTTCATATAAGAGTTATATAACAGTTATGTTACTGTTATATAAGTTATATAACTATTATATATGTTATATAACTGTCATATAACGGTTATATAACTGTTATGTAACTGTTTTGTAACAGTCATATATATGTCATATAACAGTTATATGTAATATTACAGCTGTTATATAACTGTTATATAACAGTCATATAACTGTTATATAACGGTTATTTATATAACAGTAATAACAGTCATATATATGTCATATAACAGTTATATATGTTATAGAATAGCCGTTATATAACTGTTTTATAACAATTGTATATGTTATATAACAGCTGTTATGTAACTGTCATATAACAGGTATATATGTTATATAACAGCTGTTATATATAACTGTTATATAACGGTTATGTAACTGTTATATGACATATATATATAACTGTTATATTACAGTTATATAACATATATAAGAGTTAGTTATATAACAGTTACATAACACTGTTATATAACATATATGACAGTTATATAGCATATATACATATATAACAGTTACTTTACAGTTATATAGACATCTGCTGTCATATAACTGTTATCAGACGTCTGACATCATATAACTGTTATCAGACGTCTGATTTTATATGTTATGTTATATAAGTGTTATCAGACGTCTGATGTTAGATATCCTTTTCTCCTCAACTCGGCACTTTTATTTTTGATAATTGTTAAGATGACAGTAGAGTCTGAGAGAGATCAATATATTATTGAAAACAAGAGAAAACCAAAGGTTACGTAGTGAGGGCGACAACGATGGAAGATGAAAACGCTGTTACTCCAACGCTGTGCTTCGCACAAGTTTCACTTGATAGATGTTCCAAACACGCGTGATCAGATTCTAAGTGACCAGAGAAGATCCAGATGCGAGTGATCAAATTGCTTTCTGTGAATTCCATTTATCCTTATAAGTGGAAGTCCAAACGAATGCCGGCTACATACCTGCGATGTATGCATAATAATAACCTGAAGATGAAAACTGCGGGCTACTCTTGTCGCCCGCAATAAAAGTGGTTAATAACTCCCCGTTGCATGTCGTTGAACGTCTCTGTAAGTGTCTCATGTTTTATTTTTGCGGTAGTTTGGCTGAGCAATTAAATTCCCAAAAAGTGCAATTCACTTCAATCAAAGTGTAAAAATGAAACATCTTATCTTTCCAAGGGTGAAAAACGGTATACTGTCTCTCACAAACGAGAGAGCAAAAAGACCAGCCATTCCTGTCCGCCATGCAGAGTTTCCTTGAGTAGCCTGACCTTTTGTTTCTTCCGAGTGCAGTCTTGTTTGTTCCATCAGGAGGTGTCTCAAAAATATTAATGAAGTGTTTTGATGTGTCAGGGGGTGCATGTATAATATTGTAATGCTTTAACTCAAATTAATTCCGCCCTTCAGAACTCAACTTGCTTCTACGTGGCTTCCCTTGTGACAAGAATCACTTACACACTCTTTTAAAATAATTTTAGAAAATCTCTCAGAAAAGTAAGTAACAGGTATTTTATAGGGTTACCTTGCACTACTTTGAAGAAAATGGGAATGCAAAAGTTTTTTAGGGCGCTTTCTTCCCGTTTTTGAGTCTTTTCCGGACCAAAACAAAAAGCCCATGACCCCTCCCCCCAAGGGCACAATGTGCCTCCCCCCGTAAATATTTGAGTGGGGTCCATAGCTAAAAATAATTAGTGCAACTAGTACTATCACTGTGCCGAGTTTGATGCTTTTACCCCAAAGTGCACAATTCAGCTATTTTTTTTAAACCATATGGCTGGACTATACGGGAATCTTAGGAAGAATCTTGGCAAGAATTACTACTACTCCTGATTACTACGGGAATCTTGGGAAGAAACTTGGGAAGAATTACTAAGGGAATCTTGGGAAAAATTACTACGGGAATCTTAGGAAGAATCTTGGCAAGAATTACTACGGGAATCTTGACAAGAATTGCTACGGAAATCTTGGTAAGAATTAATGTGGGAATCTTAGCAAGAATCTTGGCAAGAATTACTAAGGAAATCTTGAAAAGAATCTTGGCAAGAATTACTAGGGGAATATTGGTAAGAATCTTGGTAAGATTTACTACGGGAATCTTGGTAAGAATCTTAGCATTAATTACTTTAACTGAACTTTAACTTTATTATTCCATCGCTCATATAGTACAAACTCAGTAAAGCCAAAGCCAGGGGCTTATACGGCCTGTGGTCAGAATGACAGCAATTATTTTATATAGTAATGAAGACTGTAGGCTAAACTACAAAACTAAAACAAGATACAAAACTGAAATTAAATAAGTTTACATGCATGCAGTCCTATAACAGTCCATAACTAGTGACAAATAAACTAACAATAAACTATGAGAATCCTGCCCTAGTTCAATTCAGGCTTCAAAAGTGAAGTTTTAGTTTCTTTTTAAAGGTAGTAGTGGTAAGGCTGTCACGGACAGTAGGCTAAACTACAAAACTAAAACAAGAATTAATTACTAACGCAAAAAACTGCGTTACTTTCGATTCCCGCCAAATTTGGCCCACAGGAAGTTAATAGATTTAGCCAATTATGTGCCTAGTTCCAGCCCCCGGGGAGTTTTGAGCTTCACGCAACGATTTTCCAAAACTAGAAATATGGCGCCCGACGTGCGATGTAATTTGTGGCTGTTTTTGCGAAGAATGAAAGCTTGTATCGACGAATTTCAACCAAATACAAGTCAAGGAAATTATTTTGAAAGATTCTGGAGGATAACAAGCAAAACAAACACGAAAATCGAGGTAAGAAAACAGTTTGAATCTTGCGTGCCGATCGCCGATTCGTCTTAATTAGTCTGCAGCACATGTTGTTGAAACGCAACGAATTTCTTCTTGCCTTCGCTTAGCTTTTTGCCTTCAAATCCTTGCTTATTTTGATGAATTATATCAGCAAATTCATGTTGATAATTCGATGGAAACCTGAGAAAACAAAGCGTCTTTTTAAATGTATCGGTCAAATCGAAGCTTCAACATCCCCTCCCCCCGGCCATTTGACATCTTTGCCGTCCCGGGGAGGAGGGAATTTGATTATCAGAGTCTTCCAGGGGGTGGGGAATTTGATCCCCGTGTGACAGAGGTGGGGAATTTGAACTGCATCCACGATTTCATGTGAAATCTCTGACGTGGTGAGCTATCATGGGGGACACGGTGTTGAGGATTTTCGCGGAAAAGATTGTGCCTTTGTGGCCAATTGGTTACAAAGAAATGGGTTAAACAAGCTTTGTGCCGTATTTGAAGGTATTTACATTTTAATATTTTTAATATTGGATTCTGGCTTTTAATATGAATAATACTTTGACCTGCTGCATCTCAATGGGATTTTTTTTATAGAACGTTTTGTATGTTGCATGACAAGAAAGAAAGAAAATCTGAGCATTCAGTGACCTTGTAGCAGCGATTTCCGCCGCTTTGCACAAGAATTTTGTTCGTAGTCAATACGCTAACAGTGTATCTCAGTTTCTGTTATATTGAATGCAATTTATTTGCTGTATTTATAAATATTTTGTTCGACAACTGAAGGCGTTTCTACCGTCCTTCTGTCATTTATGTGCCTGTGGAATGTCCCCAGGGTGGGGGCATTTGATCACCTGAACGGACCCTAGTGTGGGGCATTTGAACGGCATTTTGGCCCGAGCGGGGGGGAATTTGAACAGTAATTTTCAATAAAGTCAAATGCCCGGGAGGTTGCCCGGGGGGGGATGTTGAAGCTTTGGTTTGACCGATACATAAATTTGTAGAAAATTCCAAGCCGCCCTATATTTTCGAACGATTTTCTGGTTGTTTTGCTTAGATATTGAAAAAAACTATTTGTTACCACCATGTTACACAAAAAAGACAAATTTCCTGGCCAAATGACATTCTTTTTAAATTTTGAAACATTTTTATGCAGAAATTTGCCTTGTTAATTTTTTTTGGCGGAATATTATGAGTTTCCTGAGACGGAATTTTTTTTTTTTTCTGAAAATTAAATTTTTGCTCTTTCCAATGAAGTGTAGCTTTATATGGAACTGCAAATAACAACAGAGATATAATTTTTTAAAGTTGCATTGTCAATAATACTTTTTAAAAGTTAATTTGTTAAAAAAAAATGTGAAAATGTGGTGGTCTCGTGCTTAATGAGTTGGAAACTGGATCTAGCGTGGTGAGTTCTGGTCTTGGCTGTGCTAAAGAGTTGTTTCCTTGCATATTAAAGCAACTGTCTTTCCATATAGGTTTGTAATTGGATACCAACTTTAATTTTACTAAAACTCAAGCTGTTCATTCATATAATACAAGACGGTCTAATGAAATTTGCTTACCCCTACCCAGAACAAACTGGGGTAAACAAACTTTTATTTTTCATGCCGCTAAAAACTGGAACAGCCTTCCAAATGATTTAAAAGAGTACATAATATTTTATCTATTTTTAAATCCAAGTTAAAAACTATTTAAAAGATCTCAACTAATTTTAAACCTTGATATTTTTTGTATAATCAAATTTAAGATTTTAAATTTTTTTAAAGTTTGTTTTAGTTGTAAACATATTTTACTTTTTTTGTAATAATTAATTAATTAGTTAGATTAATGCATGAGGGCCCCACTGAAAACCGCCTTGGCGAGTTGGGCTCCCTCTATAAATATTATTAGTATTATTATTATTATTACCAGTGTCATACTGCTCTAGGTAACTCTTTTGGGAGTCTTATCAGCCTGGTGGGGATTGCGGGGTTTGTTGTAGTTGTTAAGCTTTTGGGTGCCATGTGCTACTGAAGTCAGAATAGGCTATGTTAATAATTATGGACCTTTCTGGCTTGCAGTTTGCCTTGGTTAAAACTTGTTGTTTGCTCAGATAATTAAATGTTATGTAAGTTGTCGAGGTGTATTATCTTTGTATTTCACATTACTAGATTCACCATAAATACCTGGCTGCAGATTTTGATGAAGATTTGCGAGCGATGCTCAGACAAGCAGGTTGTAAGAACGAGAAGATTGTCTTCATTTTGGATGAGTCCAACATTTTGGAGTCAAGCTTCCTGGAAAGAATGAACTCTCTTTTGGCGAATGGAGAGGTAAAAATATATAGATATGTATTACGGATTGAAATATATGGTAGGGGATGTTTCAATGCTCTTCTATTGTAAAGACCACTGTACACAATGTCCCTTTGAATGGGGTCTCTGTTCAAAAATAATTATTTCTAAGTACCTCTCAGTAGCTCTCATTCCACTTTCATCTATAAATTAAGAACGTGGAACGATCATTTATGGCTTAATAGATAGTGAAAGTATCATATGCCACTTAACATATAATTTGTTTAGAAAGTATTCCCCAATATTTCATCCGTCAGCTTTGTGTATTTATTGAATCTGATATGTACTACAAACCTTTCATAGCTAGTAAAGTTTTGTCCTAAATGGATGGAATACGATTGTTCAATAAGCATTGATTTCCCAATATTCCAATTTTGTTGTCTGTAAATTTGGGTTTCAGGATTGTTTGAAGGCGACAAGTACACCACACTAATGACACAGTTCCAAGAAGGATCGTAAAGAGAGGGCCTGATCTTGGATAGCAGTGAGGAGCTGTACAAAGGGTTTACAGAGCAGGTTAGTTTATATAGGAGGTAGCTTGCGCGCAAGGTCTCCATTTCATACCCTCGTCATGCGAGAACACATGAGGGAGGGGGAGCTCTTTTCTTTCCTCGCCTCACGCTCGCGTCTCCTTTCGCTCGACTTATCACGATATCCCCCAAATAGTGGGCTTGCATGCAAGCTGTCGAGGAGACGATACGTTGGACTCGCAACCCGTAGGGTTGGGTCCGAGTCCCGCACTGTCCCTCTGACTCCATGGTCCGAGTCCTGCCCCTACCCTCGAACCACTGGTCGGAATGCCGCCCTAACCCCCTGGGCCCCTGGTCCAATTCCCACCCTGAACCACTGAATTCATGGTCTTAGTCCTTCCCCAACTGCTTGCTCCTCAGGTCCGAGTCCCACCCTGACCCCCTGGCCCCCCTGGTCCGAGTCTCGCCCTGATCCCTGGTTGGAGTTTTGTTTCAGTATCCTAGTGTTTAACGCCTCGGCCATATGTGTAAATAGCTTACTGATTTTCGTCCCGCCAGTTGAGGAAGATGGTTAAACTTTGCCAATGCACAGCATATTTTTAAAGGTTAGCCATTTCCGAGTTCCCGCGGGCCTTTGTATCAAAACGAGGTTAAGTGCTCAGCCTTTGATGTGGAAATGAATTTTCATTCTCATGCAAATAAAACGCTTTACACAAGAAAGATTGTGCACATGGCCTCATTTTGAAAGTGAGGGCTTTTGCAATTCGGAAGTGGCCTATTGACTCCTTCATTTCTTTGGAAAGGAGAAGGAGACTGGGTCGAGGAAACTTTCGCAAAGACAACTAAGACTATTGTTAGGGGGATGGGAAAATGTGCTTATTGTTGACTGGTTTGTCCCCAGTTTTGATCCCAGGAACAATTGCGGGACATATTGAAGTTCCAGTTCCTTTCTCGTTTTTAAAGTGGCGAATTTGTTAGGCATAGGGTACTTTTGTATGGCTGCTATTTCTGTCTTGAATGTGATTCTCTCATAACTTTATTGTGATAAGCGAGATGGGGATAGACTTCCCTGAACAGTCAGAGTAAACTGTCACGGCAGCATGTGCTAAATGAGCCTCTGAGTGGTGTTATGTCTATGAATTTATGTTTTTTTTCTTGTAACTGTCTTAGTCCTGTTGCGTTACCATTCAAATGACACTTTGTTTAACACTTTTTGCATGTGTTCTTGGTAGAAGGCAGGTTAGAGGGCCAAGACGAACATTATAATTGCGAGTTGATTAAGCTAACTCAATATCTTTGCGTCCATGTTGTGTATACATCCATCACCATTCTTTTTCATTCATGGTGAGAGGCCATTTTCGCTGATTTATCGTCAGACCACCATTGAAAATTCTTGTCATTTCAGATGTGTTCTCAATTGGTTTGGCGATTGGCCTACTGGTGCGCTGTATCAAGTTGGCAAGGAGTTCAATAGCAAGATTGACTTAAATCCAACGTAAGTACAAGGTATTCTGAAGAACAAAGATATGGCAAAAAAATATGTGATGAAACCATCATTAAAAACGGTCGTCATGATCCTGGAGTCCTCGACTGCTAAAACTGATGACGTCACAAGCGGCAGAAGGGAGGTCCGCATGGGCGGTTATGGGTGGTTCAGAGGCGAGTGGGTCAATGGAAAATTTTACACCGTAGTCCCGCAGAAATGTGTCCAAAAGTTTGATACATGTGTAGAATTGTTGTTGTTGTTGTTGCTGTTGTTGGTTATTAAAAAAGCGCTTTATCTGAATATGAAAGTACTAACTGAGGACCCAAATTTTACATCTCCTACTGGAGACACGACCTCCATTATTTATGGTTATCAGAGCCACGCGATGGCAGTACCTTCATTGCTCAGTTATTGTGGAGCCCTCAGAGTATTAGTCCAGTCCCAGGGATCGAACCCAGGACCTCCCACATTGAAATTAAAGTTTTTCTTAGCTGTCGCCGTCGCTGTCGCGGTCGTAGCCGCTTGAGCTCCCAATTGCAAGTGATCATTTGAATTATATTAATGAAAGGGCCTTTTTGGATACGTATAGGGTTGTGTACTTTCTGGTTTGATAACAACTGTATGTTATTCGCTTTTTGCTTTTTCACATAGTACACTCCTCCGGACTACTTACCCAAAGTGTATGAAGACCTTCCAATGTCACACACTTGAGAGAAACTGTCATCAACGCATTTGTGTACGTTCATCAAACGCTACACCAAGCCAAGGAGCGCTTAGCCAAACAAGGAGGTCGAGTGATGGCTATCACACGTCGACACTACCTGGACTTCATTAACCACTATGTAAGTACAATCCACGATTCTGAAATAGTCAAGACCATGGTGAGTATGGGTGGTGTCGGTGGTGAGATCATTCGCCTCCCACCAATGTGGCTCGGGTTCAAATCCCAGTGTTGACGCCATACGTGGGCTGAGTTTGTTGTTGGCTCGTTCCCTTGCTCCGAGAGGTTTCTCTCTGGGTTCCCCGGTTTTACCCTCTCCTTAAAAACCAACACTTCCAAATTCCAATTCGATCTGGAACGCCGGGACACTTTTAAACAAAGAACTTTTCAGTCTTATGTGGGTGAACAGATTTTAAGACTATTGAAAACAATTATTCAGTACTTGTTTTTACCTTCTTAACATCAGGGAACATACCAAGACAAAAGTGGAAACATTTTTGACGTATAATCGTATAGCAGTCACATTTGTATGGTGTCAGATTGGGGACAAAATAGATACTCAGATTTTGTGGCCTTGGAAACACTTCTTCGCTTCGAAAATTGTTCTTTGAGTCATTGTCTGTTAATGTCTTCGTGGTATCGGTTCCATGTCTTCGAGTCATCACATCCCTTGTTTCATCGTATTGTTTTCTTCGGGGCACTGCTGGCTTTTCTTTGTGGCGTCGCTATGGGCTTACGTCGTCGTTGCGCCATTCTTATGTCTTCGTGTCATCGGGTCTTCCTTTCGTCGACTGTGCTACATACTTGAACAGGTACTTGATATAAATTATAGGGACATATATTGTACCAACTTTACTTGCATAAGTTATACCTTCCCTTTTTTGCTTGGTACCTTGTTACTATGTTACCTTGTTACCCTGTTACCTTGTTACTCAATTACCTTGGTACCCTGTTACCTTGTTACCCTATTACCTTGTTACCCAGTTACCATGTTACCCTGTTACCTTGTTACTCTGTTACTTTGACCCTCTTACCTTAAAACCCTGTCACCCTGTTACCTTGTTACCCTGTGACCTTGTTACCCTGTTACCCTGTAACGTTGTTACTCTGTTACCTTGTTACCCTGTTACCCACTTACCCTGTTACCCTGTTACCTTGTTAATCTGTTACCTTGTTAAGCTGTTGCCTTGTTACCCTGTTACCTTGGTACCCTGTTACCCTGTTACCCTGTCACCTTGTTACTCTGTTACCTTGTTACCCTGTTACCTTGGTACCCTTTACCTTGTTACCCTGTTACCTTGTTACCTTGTTACCCTGTTACCTTATCAGGGTGTAAAGAAAATCATTTTTACAGCTTGCCATTCGGGCAAGCTGAAGCTAGCATTCACTAGCCCTTACCTCATTTCAACTAGCCCGAAAAACTTTTTGACTAGCAGAACTGATTTCACAGTTCTTCTGTTCTTCTGTAAACTTGCCCGCCGGGCAAGCTAAAAACAGAATTCATTAGCCCAATAGCAAAATCCGCTAGCCCCGAGCTATTGGACACTACTTTCTTTGCACACTGCTTATTAACCTGTTACCCTGTTTACCAAGGTAACAGGGTAACAAGGTAACAGAGTAACAAGGTAACAGGGTACCAGGGTAACAAGGTAATAGGGTAACAAGGTAACAGAGTGACAGGGTAACAAGGTAACAGGGTAACAGGGTAGCAAGGTAACAGGGTAACAAGGTAACAGGGTAACAGGGTAGCAAGGTAACAGGGTAACAAGGTAACAGAGTGACAGGGTAACAAGGTGACAGGGTACCCTTTACCTTGTTATCCTGTTACCTTGTTACCCTATTACCCTGTTACCTTGTCAGCCTGTTACCTTGTTACACTGTTACCATGTTACCTTGTTACACTGTCACTTTGGTACCCTGTCACCCTTTTACCCTGTTACTTTGTTACCCTGTTACCTTGTTACCCTGTTACCTTGTTACCCTGTTACCTTGTTTCCCGGTTACTCTGTTACCTTCTTACCCTGTTAGACTGTTACCCTGTTACCTTGTTACCCTGTTACCCTGTTACCCTGTTACCTTGTTTCCCAGTTACTCTGTTACCTTGTTACCCTGTTACCTTGTTTCCCGGTTACTCTGTTACCTTGTTACCCTGTTAGACTGTTACCCTGTTACCTTGTTACCCTGTTACCCTGTTACCCTGTTACCTTGTTTCCCAGTTACTCTGTTACCTTGTTACCCTGTTAGACTGTTACCCTGTTACCTTGTTTCCCAGTTACTCTGTTACCTTGTTACCCTGTTAGACTGTTACCCTGTTACCCTGTTAGACTGTTACCCTGTTACCTTGTTACCTTGTTACCCTGTTACCCTGTTACCCTGTTACCTTGTTTCCCAGTTACTCTGTGACCTTGTTACCCTGTTAGACTGCTACCCTGTTACCTTGTTACTCTGTAACCCTGTTACCTTGTTTCTCAGTTACTCTGTTACCTTGTTACCCTGTTAGACTGTTACCCTGTTACCTTGTTACCCTGTTACCCTGTTACCTTGTTTCCCAGTTACTCTGTTACCTTGTTACCCTGTTAGACTGTTACCCTGTTAGCTTGTTACCCTGTTACCTTGTTTCCCAGTTACTCTATTACCCTGTTACCTTGTTACCCTGTTACCCTGTTACCTTGGTACCCTTTACCTTGTTACCCTGTTACCATGTTACCTTGTTACTCTGTTACCCTGTTACCCTGTTACCTTGTTGCCCTCTTACCTTGTTACCCTTTTACCCTGTTACCTTGTTACTCTGTTACCCTGTTACCTTGTTATCCTGTTACCCATTTCCCCTTTTACCCTGTTACTTTTTTAATCTGTTACATTGTTATCCTGTTACTTTGTTACTCTGTAACCCTGTTACCCTGTTAGACTGTTACCCTGTTAGCTTGTTACTCTGTTACCCTGTTACCTTGTTTCCCAGTTACTCTGTTACCTTGTTACCCTGTTAGACTGTTACCCTGTTAGCTTGTTACCCTGGTACCCTGTTACCTTGTTTCCCAGTTACTCTATTACCTTGATACCCTGTTAGACTGTTACCCTGTTACCTTTTTACTCTGTTACCCTGTTACCTTGTTTCCCAGTTACTCTTTTACTTTGTTACCCTGTTACTTTGTTACTCTGTAACCCTGTTACCTTGTTACCTTGTTACCCTGTTACATTGTTACCCTATTAAACAGTTACCTTGTTATCCTGTTACCCTGCTACCTTGTTACCCTGTTAGACTGTTACCCTGTTACCTTGTTACCCTGTTACCCAGTTACCCTGTTACCTTGTTTCCCAGTTACTCTGTTACCTTGTTACCCTGTTAGACTGTTACCCTGTTGGCTTGTTACCCTGTTAACCTGTTACCTTGTTTCCCAGTTACTCTATTACCTTGTTACCCTGTTAGACTGTTACCCTGTTACCTTGTTTCCCAGTTACTCTGTTACCTTGTTACCCTGTTAGACTGTTACCCTGTTAGCTTGTTTCCCAGTTACTCTGTTACCTTGTTACCCTGTTAGACTGTTACCTGTTAGCTTGTTACCCTGTTACCCTGTTTCCTTGTTTCCCAGTTACTCTATTACCTTGTTACCCTGTTAGACTGTTACCCTGTTACTTTGTTACTCTGTAACCCTGTTACCTTGTTACCCTTCTTCCTTGTTACCCTGTTCCCATGTCACCTTGTTACCCTGTCATCCTGTTACCTTGTTACCCTGTTACATTGTTACCCTATTAAACAGTTACCTTGTTATCCTGTTACCCTGCTACCTTGTTACCCTGTTAGACTGTTACCCTGTTACCCTTTACCCTGTTACCTCGTTACCCTGTTACCCTGTTACCTCGTTATTCTGTTTCCCTGTTACCCTGTTACCAAACTTATGCAAGTAAAGTCGCTAGAATATATGTCCCCATACATCAAGTACCTGCCCAAGTATGTAGCGCAGTCGATGAATGGAAGACCTGACAACACCAAGACATAAAAATGACGCAACGACGACGTAAGCCCATAGCACTGCACGAGGAAAAACCAGCAGTGCCCCAAAGAAAACAGTACGATGAAACGAGGGATGCGACGACTTGAATTCATGGAACCGACGCCACGAAGACAACAGACAATGACTCGAAGAACGATTTTCAAAGCGAAGAGGTGTTTCCAAGGCCACGAAATCTGAGTATCGATTTTGTCCCCGATCTGACGCCATACATTTGCCCGTTGGAATTTTACACCATTTGCTAGTCACTACCAGAAAAATATATACTTTCCATAATGTAGTTATCAGTTCTAGTACCGTGCAAATACATTCATTTTTACTAATCCGCATTCACTTTAGTCGTAACAATTCCAGTAAGCATTTTTACATGGAGATAAATATCACGATAATAAAACTGATTACTACGCTTAAGTATATTTTCTGGTAGAAAAATAATTTCAGATTGTAACATCTTAGCTTAACCTCTTCATTATATGTAAGACCCTGAAGAAGGAAGGCCGTGCCTTCCGAAATATTGGTAAAAAGATATATATGTATATTCGCGACTGTAAAATCAGCTTTGCTTTTTTTGTTTTATATTTTTTTACTCATTGCTGATTAGATCCTTCATGAGGATCCGGTCCTTCTCTTTTGCAAGCTGGTCCTTGCTTCAAAAATTGAATCTCATGGAAGTTGCTCTTTTCAGAATATCCTGACAAGTCCCATAATTTCACAAATTAGCCCCTTACTCTTACCATATTTCATTTCTTACTATTCCCCTGCATTTACAATTAAGTAATGATCCGGGTAAGGTGGATAGCAATTTCTTTTGTTATGCGGCAACGGTGCTTTCCCCACATGGGAATGTTCTCATTTTTACACAGAGAATGCATAAACCTACATGAAGGCCGTTTACGCAATAAAATGCATTTACAATCCACTTTGAAAGGGTGTTTTTTTGTGTTAAAAGATTTTGACCAATCACAAGAGTTGAAAACAATAGCCAAGTAAAGTTTACAATTTTACATGTTCCCCACATAGGATTTCTTTGTTATTCAAACTGAGACCAGATTTTGTCATATGGAAGATGGTTGGAAAGTAAGGATGAACATATGTACCGCTTTATGAAGTTTTGTTAACTTTTTCTGTTTCAGCCAATCAGAATTAAGTACAGACAATAGAAAAGTTAGCACCTTTTTTGCATTCCAACATGTTCGTTGCCGTTGTTGCTATCGTTCTTATCTGGACCGTTTCTTAATCAGTTCCACAACCACGACGTCGAAGTGTACGCTCCATAGCGTCTTGTTGTACACTGATTACTTGTGAAACAAAGGAGTGTATACCGTTTTGGAAACGTGTTTTGCGTCATCCGGTGACACTGAAAACAGTTATTACACAAGACATCAGGGAATAGAGAAACGTAGGGATGCCACTCTTATTGGGGGATACTCTTCGAATCGCACACTGGTACTGGCCATTAGAAAAAAATGACAAACGTTTCCAAGTGGAAACTCATCCTGAAAACAAAAATGATGAGATATCCTCTAAGTAAATAAAGAAATAACCATCTGAAAGTAGCACATCCACATAGTGGTTCTTTGTCTACCTGATTCCTGGTCGAATTGGAATTTGGAAATGTTAGTTTTTGAGGAGAGGGGAAAACCGGAGTACCCGGAGAAAAACATTCGTGGCAGGGGAGAGAACCAACAACAAACTCAACCCACATATGGCTTCAACGCCGGGACTTGAACCCAGGCGACATTGGTGGCAGGCGAGTGCTCTCGCGGCTTCGCCACCCTAACATTAAGTGCTAAACTTTAGAATGTGCAAACTCATACTGTCTTTATTGACTTTTTATCTCTACAGTTAATGGATGAGCGCAATTGCTTCCTAGATTTCTGCCCTTTGCATCTTCAGTGTCTTACCTGATATTGATTCAGAGTGGCCACAACACCAGACTCTGCACTCTTTGGGGATTGCTAAGTAAAGGTTATTGATCATGAATCTTATTTTTCCAGCTTCAATTAAGATTCACATTACTCCAATCTAAAATTATCAACGTGGACAACGGGAATCCTGGTTTTTTGGGAACTGATTTTTTTGTGGAAATTCGACGGAGTGTATAGGTGTTGAAACGTATTTTGCGGTAACCGCTGACACTCAAACCGATAACACGATAAATCAGGGAACAGAAAAACGTAGGGATACCAAACTAAAATTATCAACGCGGACAATGGGAATCCTGGTTTGTGGTGGAAATTCGACCGAGTGTATAGGCGTTGAAACGTACTTTGCGTAAACCGCTGACACTCAAACCGATAACACCATAAATCAGGGATCAGAGAAACGTAGGGATACCAAACTAAAATTATCAATGCGGACAATGGGAATCCTGGTTTGCTTGGGAACTGATTTTTTTTTGTGGAAATTCGACGGAGTGTATAGGCGTTGAAACGTATTTTGCGTAAACCGCTGACACTCAAACCGATAACACAATAAATCAGGGAACAGAGAAAGGTAGGGATTCCAGTCTAATTCGGGTACTTTTCAAATTGGAAACTAATGCTAACTTCTTAGTTTTCTCCGTATCTCTACAGGTGATGGTAGAACGCTTTGGCATTGCCAAGTAAACTTTATGGATCATGATTCTTTTTTTCCCGCTTTCAGCTTTAAAGACAAGGTCCATATTACTTTAATCTTAAATTATCAACGCGGACAACGTTAATCCCTGTTTCTTTGGGAACTGATTTTTTTGTGAAAATTTAAGTCTGGCTTGATTTGACCAAAATAAACACAAACAAAATAAGTTCGATTGTTTGACAAAAACCATGGTTTATTCCCTTTGGAAAATTTCGATATTTTTGGACTTTTTTGAAACTTCACTTTTCTGGTCTAAAAAGCATTCTTCTCTATCCAGAATACCAAAAAACGATCTTTTCTGGCTTCACTTGTCCAAAAATTACACATGTTATTGAAAAGTTCGATTTGTAGACCAAAACCATGGACCTTTGGAAAATTTTGATTTTTCGACTTTTTTGAAATTTTACTTTTCTGGTCTAAAAAGCATTCTTTTCTATCCAGAATATCAACGATCCTTTCTGGCTTGATTTGCCCACACATGGTGTAAAGTTCGATTTTTTTACAAAAACTATGGATTAACTCCTTTAGAAAATCACGATTTTTTAGACCTTCTTGACACTTCACTTTTCTGGTCTAAAAAGCATTCGCTTCTATTCAGAATATCAAAAAACGATCTTTACTGGCTTGATTTGCCCAAAAACCATACATGGTAAAAAGTTGGATTTTAACACAAAAACCATAAACAAACCGCTTTGGAAAAGTTCGATTTTTTTAGCTTTTTGAAACGTCACTTTTTTAGGTCTAAAGAGCATTTTTTTTATCCAGGATATCAAAAAACGATCTTTTCTGGCTTGATTTGCCCAACAAACACACGTGGTAACAAGTTAGACTTTTTGACAAAAACCATGGACTTACCCCTTTGGAAACTTTCGATTTTCTGGACTTTTTTGAAACGTCACTTTTTTTGTCTAAAAGGCATTCTTTTCTATCCACAATATTAAAAAAACAATCTTTTGTGGCTTCATTTGCACAAAAAATACACATGGTAAAAAGCTCGAGTTTTTTACAAAAACCGTGGAGTAACCCTTTGAAAACTTTCGATTTTTTGGACTTTTGGAAACTTCACTTTTCTGGTCGAAAAAGCATTCTTGTGTCTCCAGGATATTATGAGACACACTATTCTAGCTAGATTTGCCCAAAAGACGTACATGTTAAATAGTTCGACTTTTTCGCACAAATTATAGACTAACCCCTTTGGAAAAATGTCAATTATTCGACTTTTTGAACGTCTTGTTTTTATAGCCTAGAAAGGCATTTTTTCAATCTAGAATATCCTAAAACACATTTTCCTGGACTATATTGCCTAAAAAAAAAATGGAAAAATGACCATTTTTGGACCAAAACCATGGCTTAAACCCTTTGGAAAAATGTCAATTTTTCGACTTTTTAAATTTCTTGTTTTTATAGCTTAGAAAGGAGTTTTTTCGTTTTGAAATATCGTAAAAGACATTTTCCTGGCTGATATTGCCTAAAAAAAAAAGTTGGAAAAATGGCCATTTTTCCAGAAAAACCATGGGTTAACCCCGTTGGAAAAATGTCAATTTTTTCGACTTTTTGAACTTCTTGTTTTTATAGCCTAGAGAGGGGTTTTTTCGTTTTAGAATATCCTAGAAGACGTCTTCCTGGCTGATATTAGGGACTTTAAGATCCGAGACGCGACGTCTGTAAGACGCGACCGGAAGTAAATTTTCAAAGAGGAGACATGTTGCGCATGCTCACGCCGTCGTCCTGGTGTCACCAAGTCGCGTCGAGAACGTGGATTTTGCGAGTTTGACGTTCTGTACAAAACGTGAGTATATTTGTTCCTGTGCTTAAATTAAATGATGATATATTCCTCTAAACATGTAAAATCAGCACTCTACAATCATTGGACGTAATTTCTGGCGACATTTTAGATCGCAGAGATGAAAGGATTTTGATTATTTTCAAATTTCTTTCAGGTGTACGAAGCTTATAAAATGGCAGCGCCTTCGAATTCGATTTCGAGCAAGGCTTGCAAGTAAGTCACGAGCTAAAACTGCAAATAGTGAACGCAGGAGTCTTCTGGATTCTCTTCTCTTCTCTTGTACCGTTGCAGTTCTCGATTTATTGCGTTCATCTGCCGCTAAAAGCCAATTTTAATCTGTATTATTTAATTTAATTTTATTAAACTGCGTGTGTTTTTATGCTTCCCTTTAGTTCAGTAATGTTTTGGACACATGATCATGAAGCCATTCTATGCAGAGAAGTCGTCAATGTAAATCCCTACACAACTA